TGAAGCTTGGTCAATTTTTATTTTACTAAAGGTTTAAACACTGATATAACATTAGTGTTCATGCGTTCCTCAGATGCTCATTACATTTCCATTACCAAGTATGACCAAGAGTCATTTAGTGGAATCCTGATGTCTATTCACTGCTAGATATTTCAAATAGGGTAAATAATCAATTAACTAAAGGTTATTGGTTATTTATTAAGCAATTCATTTAATAAAACATTATTTGGCCAAATAATGTTTTATTCACCTCATGGATTTGCATTGTGAATTGGTTTGAAAATATTCCAATTTTTTTAAAATTAGTGAAAAGCTAATTTGATCATATTCCAAATTCTTCCAGATAAACTTTGGTTTCAAAGACAAAATCCATCTTAAACTGTAATGTGGTTTTCAACCATGCTTCCCCTTCCTCTTTGTACATAGTTTAGTTTAGTTGAGTTTCACTAGTTTTAGTTAAGAGTGTTAAACTGAAATATGTTTGACTTGGAGCTGAATGATTTTTGTTAATAAACTCTTATATTTTGAACAGAATTTGTGGTGAATTTATTCCATGTATGTGCAGAAATAACTATTTGACCATGATTAGTGTTCTAAGACACAGTTAGTAGGGTGTGTGTTCATAAACAATTAATAACAGCCAAAAAAATATCTGATTAAATAAGATATTTCCCACCCCTACTGGGGAGGGCAATAAAAATCTTAAAGTATCAGAAAAATAAATTTCCAGTTGGCTAGGAATTGAATAGAACAAAATCACAATATTAATGTGGCATCCTACCTAGATGGGCATTGAACTTAATATCCCAACAGTAGCTATTTCACCCATTTATATAAATCTTTATAAGTTCAGGTTAAAAACAAATGTATATCTAATCTTTACGACCCAATTGAAGATTTAGAAATAATTTCCAGTAACTGATTTTAAAATAGAGTCATTTGGTTACCTGGATCAATGAAACAACATTTAAGACCTAAATTATTAGATTTATGCAAAGTGTTTAGTGTACAGAACTGAAACAAAGTCTTTCAAAAATGATAAGGATCCCTTAAAACATGTTTTGAACTGATAAAAATGAGAACATCCCCCTTTCAGTATGATGCTGTTTTTTGTCACAAGGCTCTTTGGTCTCAACTTCAAGCTGCACCTGATAGCAGAAAAGGCCCTTTCACACCCCCACCCCCAGAAGAGCACAGAAAACACTTTTTCCACCAGCTACCAGCTCATTTTAATGCGCCATCACGCCTACGCAAGAATCCCCTCAAGTAATTAAAAAACCCCTGAGTTTAGGGAGCAATAACGGGTTTAGAAACCATAATTGAAACAGACACAAATATGAATACAAATCATTGTTTAATAAATCAAACAAATTTTACTGTGCTTTAAATGACACTAAAAAGCAAATACTTCTATACATAAAATATCATAATGACAAGAAGCACCTGATAGGTCAAATAACATATATATATATCTCTATGTATTTTGTTAACATGATGTGACGAAGGTACAAAGTGAACAAGATTAGAAGCTGATTGAAAACTTTACCGTGAAAAGCGAAAAAAAAACAAAAAAAAAAAAAACATTCTACATGATATAATCTCTTCAAATGATAGACATTCACTTCGGAGCTGCAGCTGAACAGGAAACTATTTTTGCAATGTCAGAACACTGAAACATGAGTCAGTCTTTAATAATTAAAGGAGGATTAAAACAAATGATGAACCAAACCTTTGTTTCCTTTTTTTATTTTCCAACTGAGATGTTTCTTGACAGAGTGTGAAGTGAGGCGTTAAAGTAGGCCCAAAAAGCACCTCTAGTTGCTAGAAGGAGCTAAAAAAAAAAAAAGTATGCAAAGCAGGAAGAAGGTGGAGTTTCCCGTTAGCTTTTGAGGAAGCGCAGGATGAAATCGAGTAAGGCACTGCCAGCAGTGAAAACACAGAGTAAGGAAAGTCTGCCTTTAGCTTTGCTGCACCTCTGCTTTGGCCCACAAAGCTGATGTAGCAATAAATGGAATAAACCTGCTGTCAGCTGAGAAATATGCAGTAAAGCTTTTATTTGAGACTGAAAGTAGACAAAGACTTTGGTTTTTGTAGGCAGAATATCAGTGCATGACGGCAGATTACAAAGTTGCTGCTTAACTCAAGCAATGAAAGAATTCATGGCTGCTCAAAGGGCAGCCGAGCAGCTCGGATGTTGACATCCTGTGTTACAAGCTGTGGACCTTGGACAGAGGAAAAGGCTTATGTAAATTGTGTCGTACTCCATCCGTCAATATTGCCGTCAAAGTTTTCCTGCTCTTGCTCTCATCCTCTGTGCTTCAGTTAGTAAAAGGAAACAACAAAACAAGCTGGAACTGTTGGCATGGGCAGCAAAAGAAGAGATGGGATCAGACTACAAAGAAATGCAGAAGTGAAGAACATGACACAAGCAAAAGCGTTTTCGGCAGGATCTGCTTTAATTTTGTCTTGTAGCGTGAGAATGTTCTCACATTGTAGTGAACTGACTGTGAGCTTGTCTCAGCTTGGCAGCAATCTGGGGATTCAAAATAAAAATGTATAGGTTATAATTAGATTTTTCATTTTTTATTTTATTAATTATCTGGAGTCAATGCATCCTTTTTCCCAATAGGGAAACAATGCCAAAGTGTAACAGATTTAAATGAAATGCTCTTACCGTCTCATAAAACTTGACTTGCTCCTCCAGATACTGCTGCATTACCCGATTGTAGTCGTAGATACGGTTGCTATGGAAGTGGTTCATCTCAGCTGTGCCGCAGAAAAAAAGGAAAAATTAACGAGTTTAGATGGCACTAGATGACAAACTGCACTGTTGTAATTCTTACCTTGTAAAGCGTAAGACATGGTGCTGAGACGTTTCGCCATAGTTGTTTTGTCCT